GGGGGGGGGGGGGAGGGGATAGATGAATTTAATTACGTAATAAGAACATGTAAAAACTTTCAAATGCGACCTGCTTAAGATTCGCTATATGTATAATGCTTATCCTTAATTCATACCACGTACAATTAGATGTATTTATCGAAGAGTATATTATAATCTACGAAGTAGGAAATATTTTGAGTATTCGCCTCCCACTAATATCCGAGCCTGTTTTGTACGTAGCTCTTGCTCATGCGCTTGCCAAAATCGCCTTAGAATCTCCTCTGAAATGGAGATTCATTGATTTCGTTCTACCGCTGGTAGCAGGATAGATCCTACTTTTTTATTGCCGCGAATTATCTACGAAAGTTCACGAAACTCTTTCCCTTCATTCTTTCGCTTCGGTTTTCCTTTTAATTTGTTATATATACAAATTACAGATTGTCCGCTTCACGATCGATCAGCTCCAGTTTTAGATTGCCACGTGCACGCCACTTCACTGTGTCTACGTTTGATCATCCCCATCGTTCTCTACACAAATAAGGCACCTTTAACAAATTACGCTGTTTATAAGCTACACTCGACTTAGCAGTCCAACGCTCAGTCAATAGACGACGCCACGTCTGCACCGGCAATAGCTAATTCGTAATTTGTCAATCGAGGCATACGTAAACAGCAGTCTTAATGTATCGAACAAAAAACATTATATATATATATGTATATATATATATGTATATATAGTGGATATATGTGATCAACTGGGTACCAAAAGGCCCATAGATTATTCCTTCTTTCATCTTCCAACTTCTCAAACGACGATAAATATTTTTAACTTTCAACGAGGCTCATCACCATTTAAACCGATTCATGTTTTCTCATTCAAAACACTTATCTCCCATCTCTCACTAATGAAAGCCTTTAATTTATCAGACACCACGAGACCGCTCTGAATTTGGCTAAAAATATTTCATATCGTTTCGCCCGCCACGAAAGCAAGGAATAACATTAAACTCAAAGAAGAATAATCTATTCGAATTCTATACCTAGCCTAATCGAGGCTATCTTACATATTCAAGAGGAAAGCAGTATTCCCATCTTAAACGTCATTTGTGCTTGTGGAATGCTAGAAAACAGCGCTGCCCAACCGAAATCAGCTGACGCGTGCCCAGAAAGAATTTCTTCGCGCAATCATCACTGGACGTAATCGAAAAGATTAATCTTTACTTACAAATTGTAAAAAGCGACAGAAGCAGTCCCTCGAGATACAATAATTTACAGCAAATAAAAGAGGGCTGCAAAGATGGTTTTTTTAATGCAAATTAAAATGAACGGTAAACTACTATTAATTATACAATATGCCAATTAAATGCAAATTCTTTCGCGCCAGATTATTATTGCAGCTATAATAATAACACAGAATAAATTTACTTAGGCAATACAGTGAACGCGAAAGCACGCAAACGCCGGCACGCGCGCCGCCGATTGGTCAACCCCGCTATAAAAGTGTATGTAAAAACTGTGGAAGAGTACCACGTTGCCGAATCGATGTCCTTCGTTTCAACTTTACGCAAGAGTCTTAGCCGAAACACAACAGACAGAGAAAGAGAAAGGATTAGCCTTGATATTAAAGAGTGCCGTTTGCAAAGTATTGATATCGATCGTAGAGTTTAGTGGACCACGAGTGAATGCTGCCTTCAACCAAATCCTCGACATGCCGACGTAATTGATCCTCCGTTAGCGTGAGGTGGAACCTATTCTTGAGACCTTGAACAGTCGCCGCCCCACCACTGCGAAAGCACGGAAGTTGAGAGCCTGCGAAAAATCGATAGAACCCGTTGAATATGCCCGATTAAAAGCCATACGACGGTACGAATCGCTTCTTACCCGACAACATGATCTCGACGAGATTTACTATCTTTTCCATATGCTTCCGTGCCGCGATCAAGCCTTGAAGAATCAAACTCTTAAACTCCTCGAACATCTTGGATTGATTACCACCCATCACCTCGACGAACTCGGGCGTTAGTTTGAACGGACTGGTCTCAAAACCCAGATTACGAGGCGACGTCGACAGGATGAAACCGAAGTCTATGTGAATTAGATGGCCGTCGCTGTGTAGCAGGATGTTGCCGTTGTGACGATCCTTCACTTGGATGAGATAGCTAACCAAACAGTACGCAGCACAGCTCTGAATGAAATTTTTCTGCGCTATGCCGAACGATTCCGAGGTAGACGGACCAAACTCCCGTTCGAAGTATTGGAAAAGCGTCAATTGGCACTGCTTCTTCACCTGATGGAGCGACACTGTGTTCAGAATCGGCTCGATCAGACCGCTGTCGTTGGACAGGCACAGTATTCTGCGGGATTAATTGAATCGAAAAGCGTTACATCGATGCAATTCTACGACGAAAACTTTAGAAATTCAACTTCAGATTCACTTTAAAACTTGAGGCATAATTCTACGATGAGATTTCAATGTTGTTACACTCACTTGTACGGCCGTACCCAAAGCGGTACCCGTTCGTCCTGCCAAATTTTTTGCAGCATCGAAAGCAACTGTGAGGCAAGAAGTTCTTGCCTGAGATCGTCGCCACACTTCACGATCACCGCAAGCAACCTCCAGGACGCCAAGTGCCCGTATGGACTGGAAGCTCTGATGCGTCGTTGTTTCTGCTCCCACGGTTCCTTAAGGACGGCTGCCGACGGGTCCTCGGGATCGTGATTGAACGTCGCGCTGGGCATAGCTGCCATTTCGCTCAATCGCCTCTTAATGTCGCCCGGAACAAAGATCGGTTCCCTGCTGTCGGACGAATCTTGACTCAGTTGCGATATGGTATCCCGGTCTTTCGGCTTGCGAAGCTGCAGATACTGTGGAAATATATTAGAAGATTAGCGCGTACTTATTAAACGAAAACGTACGACTGTTCGAACAGGATTGTGTACCTGCTGCGTAATCTCGTCATCTTCCTGACTCCAGCAGTCGTTCGGATCGTCGTCGGGAAAATTAAACGCTACGTCTGTATTCCGAACAGAATACGGCGAAATATTTTTCACCGGAGTTTGCCGTAGCGCGGACGATACCGTCGAATTCTGCTGACTGTCGGAAGTGGATATGTTATTAGACGATGCCATCGTATTGGACTGCTCGCCACCTGTCAAGTTTTCCTCAGACTTGGTGTGCCTCAATGAGCTCCCCATTATTTTCGTTGGCACTGGTGATGTGTACAGATCCTCCACTTCTAATACTTCTACGTATATTATATAGGGTGCCTATAATGGAAAACATACTTGTAATATTCATCAAGTAGCGAAATGCATGAAATTTGAGATAAACGAAACATACCTTATCCTTGCTGTTGAGAACGGCGGCATATTGCGGCGGAACTCGCACGATATGATGTGGTATCGTGCTATGTAAAGGAAGCCACACCCTCGCGGGGAGATTCAAATTGAGCGTATTGAGCTCCGCCACTAATTGAACGGTTTTACTTTCCTTCGTCGGGATGGTGCCGAGCAATTTGCCGATTGATATTAACGCTTGAATAAATTCGAGTTCTGGCGCGAGTCGGGGTGCCTGTGATTGTAGAATAGATTTTACGTCGCTTTTTGTATCGCATCGATTCAGCAAATTATATATTCGTGCAAACTAATAACTTACATTACAGAAACAATCGGTCTTTTGGCCTCGCAAATCGTTCACCACACCTTGGCAGGAATAAAAGCAGGTACAGCCGTTGTCAAACGCTCGACCAGAGCTCAGGTCCCCAAGACTTACTTTATTTATTGTACCTTTTGAAAAATGTCAAGGTTACAGATTTCAGGATAATCGTCAATATATTATTAAAGGTATTAAATATATTAATTTGGACTTTTGATTACCGGAATGACTACGGCGTATGGTCTGGAACAATCCAGTAGCGTCGGACTGAGATCTTTGGTGGGTTTTCTTATTCGGAGACGTAAGGTTTTGCGTCGAGGGCAATGGTGGCGGCGCAGGAACTTGCAAACCAACGATACGTTGCTTTCGACTCTCATTTCCCTTTGGCCTGAATAAGTTACAAGTTTAGACGCTAGTTTGTCCTACTTTAAGCCTCCGTGACAATTTTATCTGAATCACATGCGTCGAAAAACTCGAAACTCTCGTTATTTCCTGAAGCATCTAATCATTGCTCTTACCTGAGTTCATCTGACAGGATAAGGTTTTTTAATTTGGTCCCATGAGACTTCTTCTTTGATGGCAAATGAGCATCGGAGCTGTACGCATCTAACAGCCAAGCACATTTTAACGAAAAATCTGCAGATTGTCTACACCTGCAAGATAGTGTTCGTGCATTTAGTTTTATAATTTATTCAAATTATCCCCGCAATTTATAATATACGTAGCCAAATAAGATGATCTCCATATTTACCTATGGACAAGATATGGATAAAGAACTTCTGTTACATCATGAAGTTGTATATACATCACAACTAGCTGTGGTAAGTAAAAGTCCACATCGTTATCCGGAAAACTGAACATTTTGTTACCTACAATGTCACATTTATCATCAAATTCACTTGACGTAAGTGAACTTACAGACTATTATTTCCTAATAGCACTCTTGTCAATATGATTGGAAACTCAAAGATTTTATGATAAATTTAGTTTTATGATAAAAATAGTTTTATAATTATAATAAAGATTTTTTCCCACAAAAATACATTCGCATACCTAGATAACTTTGCACGCCAGGTTCTTTGGAATTGAACAAATAAGAGATAGCCATAGACATGTCGAATATCTGACTTTCAAAGAGCCGCAGTAGACAACCTTCCGACGGTTTCGGCTGTTTCGTCTCCTGCTGTCGGCGAACGATGTCCGGTTGCTGTTTCTTCACCGTTTCGGTTTCCTGCTGCGTCGCCGCGCCGCAACAAAGGGTCATGGCTGCACCAGCTAACTCGCTCTGAGTGTTGTCGGCCACTGCCGACAATACCTGCATTGCGCTTGGATGGTGATAGACAACTGTGGTGATCTCGGGAACGCGCTCCTGCTGCTGGTAGTCGCAATGAACATCACGTTCTCGCGTAACGCTCGATCGCGGCTCCTGCAAGCAACGTTCAGCGTTCGCGTCGTCGCGCCGGGAATGATGGTCACTGTCACTGACTGTTTCGTCCTTGGGAGACATTGGCGACTCATCAGCGAGACGCGTGGACAGTTCCACGGGTGACACCGGCACCGATACCGACACCGACACATCACTGTTCTCAGCACCGTCCACCACGTCCACGGAATACATGTCACCCGGTTGCGACACAGACGAGTCGAGACTCTCGCGGCTGTGCAAATGGTCCACGCTGGACTCGCGGGTGGCGGCGTTGGTCGCGTCGCTCGAGCCGCTGTCGGAACCGCACAAGATACCGGAGTCGTCGGAACCGAGACTAGCTAGGTCTTCGCGTTCCCGACTACGTCCCTTACAAGGTCCCGACGACGCGGTCGTCTTAGCGACCGGCGCTGGATTCTCGCATTCTGGACTGGGTGTTACGTCCACTTCCGGAATCCGTTGCAGCGCGGAGTCGAGGCTGCGGTTCCTGTGATGGTGCGTCGACGTCGTCGCGTTCGTCTGAGATACCGGTGGTAGTATAATGCCCATTGATCTATGAAAAACGATCGATGGACTTTAGCATTGACAATTAATGATCCAAGTGTTTTAAAAGAGTAAATTATACTATGATTTATGCCGAGTTCCAAGACACAAAGTACGATTTTAATTATGTTTTACTATAAATACTTAAAGTGTCAGAGTCTATCGTTGAAAACAAATCTTTTTAAGAATGGCCTTTGCTCGAGTCTGTTCCATATTATTCTATTCTATTTCAGACTTGCAACTCGTATCGCACATACTTTGGCCGAGGAGGATCGCGTGCACGCAACATTGGCTGGCTCCAGTTTCCAGCTGGCGGCTGTAAAAGCGCGCATATCGAAGAAAATAGATACGATAGGCCGCGGTCGCGATTACGCGCTGCAGCGCGGTTATTAATATTGATGACGTCGTCGTCGTCGTTGCAACCGATTTAAATATCTCGACATATATTTCGCGATTTGAATACAACAATACAACTTCCACACTTCTTCTCTCGCTCTTCTTCTTGTGCCTCACCGTTCAAGTTCGTGGATGTTGTCGATCGCGCAATCGCGACGCGTATACACGCGCGAGGCGGATTTACGATCGCTTATTCAACAAGTGCCAGGATACATACACGCGCGCCAGGCGCGCATCACGCTCGCAAATAGCTCGCGCGCGTCGCAAAGTGGCTCGCAAACATTCAGGAAGCGGCTTCTCAAGGCACGTGCGATAACGAGAGCAGTAGCTCGGGCTCATCAGCGAACAGACTCGCTGTCCCCGCGGAGGATTCTACTTCGTACCTGAAGTCCAAGCTTTGGTTTCGTTGATGCGTGGTCAGTCTGCTGCGTGGACTGATCGACGGATTCGGCCGGCCGTGTACGAGAGGAACATTACAGTTGGTTAGTTTGTGCCTCTTGATGTGTGTTACGCTTTCCTGGCGCGTAGGTCCACCAGTCGGCGTTACTGCCACTACTTCGCTCATATTAGAGTCAGTACGAGCACCGGCTCGGCTAACAGTCATCTGCTGGCCATGCTGGGGCTTTACCTGCAAAACGCAAGCACAAAATCAACGGCGGCGTCTTTAATTCCTAGCACGTGGCTAGCTCTAACGTGGAATGTGAGTTTGCGAGTGAGGCATCTGCGCTCGCAAAACTTACAGACTCACGCTGAACGCACGAGTCTACGCGCCTACGACGTCGAAAATAGAACAGTTATCTTACAACTATGTAGAATGCTAACATATCATGAATATAATATTTATAAGATATAAATGTGTATATATATATATATATGTCGTGTATAGATCCTGAGCTATAATTTGAAAGAGACGTAGATAAATTCAATCGTATCGCGACAAATTGACATATCGCATAATCATCACGCAACAATAAAACTTCTAATCGATACTAAGTACGATCTAAACAATCACCGTGCGCGTGACTAAAGCGAACACGAGGAAGGCCAATAATTCACACGATGCAATGTTGCTCATGCAACGGCCATTAGTGAGGCCAGAAAGAGAGACGAGATACATTACTTCCGGCGGCATCTTCGTTATTTTTGGGAGCGTGAACTGATAACAGCGGATAATATCACTCGCCGCGTACACAAATCTCAACTGCACTAAGCGCGGAAATTATAGACTGATCATAATGTCAACAATAGTGAAAAAGGGTACGCGTATTTGTTATCAATTGCAATCAAATATGCGATAAGAGCAATCGGTGTCACGAGTCGGAGAGCGTGGAGGGGGAGTCGTTATCGCGAATTAACATACACAACGAAAGACTTCGCGGAACTTTGCGAAATTGATTGGTTACATAATGCGGCGTCGGCGTGAAAAAACACGGGAGCGCTTATTCCACTGTTTATGCCGCGAAACCGACCGGAAACCGCGCATCTGTCTGGAAGGTCGATCGCATCGCCTCGGAATCTCGATAACATGCGATTGGAATTTCCTCTCGGGCAAGATTACAAACCGGTATAATTTTATTGTGCTGCTTGTGGAACCGTTCTCACAAACGTTGGGTGTGAATCCTGATCGAGCAAGTTGTTTCTCCGCAAATCGCTTTAAACCTATATTTGAAAAAACAACTAACTTTTAAGACATACACAACCTCGATCTTTTAAAGATATGCACTTAAGACGTGCCGAGGATGTTTTGTTTCTTAAATCAAGGCTCGACTTATTATTCGTCTGCCTCCGCGAAGAAGCAACTAAGCGACCGTTCAAAATTAATCGAGATTGCCAAAACTGGTCGTCAATTATGCAAACGTATGAATATACACGCATCTAGGCGACTCGGACAACAATTGGGGGAAAAGGTGAAGGCCGGAGAGCCGAAGGTCGGCCGATTCGCCGGGCATCCGCGTCGAAACGGTAACGGATAGAAAAAGTCGAGATAGAGACATTTAGAAAGCGCGGCTTTTTATCAATTCGAACACTTTCTAGGATCTCCTTCTCATGGGGCATGCGCTCCATTCCGCGCGCAGAATACACGACGCGGCTTAAATGTCCAGCACAAAAGACGACGCAATACTTCACTAGTTACATGAAAGTTACGTGGAAAACGAACGCTTCCATGAGGAAATAAGCCGCTCCATTCTGCGCCGCGTTCCTTTGTGCGGCGGCAATGGACTTTTGTTTGTCGAACAGCGAACGCAAACGACATGTTGACTGAGAAGTTATATCGAAAAAAAAAAAAAGAAAGGAAAAAAATCCGGAGGCCGCGGTTTTTATATAGGCGGAGATAAAAGTCACGATTCGCGCGAGCGGCAGTTCGTAACTTTCAATTCTTAACACCTTGCCCACGATTCCCGAGCACTTTCTCGCGTGAATTTTTAACGTGACGATTTTGAAATCCGTGAAAGCGCCGGGAGGTCACCACGTCGGTGAGTCTCGCGGTCCATATGGAGCAGAATGCGTCGCCAATGCCACTTTTAGCATCTCTCGTCAAACTACCGGTACAGCTGTCACATTGCGGATAATTGCGATTCTCCCACTGTTTCCCTCCTTTTTTTTGCGCGCGTTTCAAGCCGCGGATATCTCGCGCGTGACAAAACACGACGACGCGGCGGTATTTTAACGGATTAACGGCGAACGCGCGGCGCGGGTGTTACGGCGCGGAACCGAAGTTTCTATCTCCACATACGGATCGACGCGTTGCAAAATCCGCCGCAGTCCGTCGACTCGAAACTCCGCGTCGCGCGTGGAACCATATGCTTTCACCACTTGGTCCGCTTCGGTGCCGGTGTCTCGTACTCGCCGTTGTGCGTTTCCGAAATTTCGGCCGCAAAACGTGTAGTCATCGCTGGCAGTATGCGTGGGAAAAAAAGCGCAGTCCTGCCAGAAGACACTTGTCTCACGATAATTTTGATATTCCGGCAGTGCCGTTTACACTTCGCCGTAATCGGAAATAGCGTTGACACGTTGTGTCCGGATATCAAAATAAACCACCACTCGATTCGCGATGGATTTCGTCCGTCTAGAATCGCCAAATAAAATTATCGCGTTATCTTGAAACTCACCGACTTTTCGCTCCTTCCGCGAGTCATGAAATAATAATTGTCGGTGATGTCAGCGAACGAAAGTATCGATACTTTTCTTTTTGAGCGGTCATCAAGCGCGTAGGCGGGCCTGAATACGGGCCGTTGTGCGCGGATTCCGTCGATGATCTAATAACCAGCGACGAGATCGAACTGCTTTGACGACTTTCAGGAGCGCGATTAACACGAACGTGAGTGCATGAGGTTCGCGCCAGAAAGTCGAGCGCGAAACGAACAACAACGTTAACAAAATGAGCCAAAATCCGCACTGATGACTTGAAGACATTTGCGATTGAAGCGCCTCGATAAAAAAAACAGCTTTTCTTCACGTCACGAAGAATGTCACAAGCCACTCCGTGAATATTCTTTAATTTCACACAAATCCTCGCTTTGGCGCCTCAAGTGAAATTTACATAACAATAGAATTCTGCTCGAGTTCGATGCGGATGCGCCTGACCTCGTGACATTTTCGAAGGCCCCCGCGAAACTTTTGGACGCCGACGTTCGCTCAGAAGCACGCGGAACTCCTCCGCAAGCGGTCCTTGGATGTGAATCACGGTTAGCTATCACTGACTGCACGCCTCTGACATGCTAAACATCACGAAGTCCAGCGTCCGAAGTCGAGTGACAATAAAACTAATTAGTCATATCATTCAGGAATTCCGCGTAATCAGTGCCATTACCATACTACCGCACACGTGACATTGATGTCTGCTGTATACAAAACGTAGTATCATTAAAATTCGTTAGTCACTGAGTAAAGTTAATTAACGCAAGATGCTTGAATGTAATCGTCGAACCGTAATTGCCGAACAGAGCAGCGAATCGTCGGCAAGTTAACTAATCCGGATTGTCGGATAATAACCGGTTATCGAAATCCGGTGTAATCTCGATGATCCCAAATTCTTGACGCTGTAAAGACTGAAGAAAACACTACATTACTATGACGAATCGACACTGAAACGTGACATTGGCGCGTCTACCTACAAGAAAATCCGAACTCGGCGCAGTCACATCAGCAAGTTTCGATGCCGCGAGGAGACGAAGAGTACAAACAACCTCGATAATCGCTACACTGAAGATAACAGTACCCCAAAGAGCCCGACAACGATTGTAACAACAATCGTTATCTTGATTGGCCGCTCAAGAATTCATCACCAATACACACACAAAGAGATGGAAAAAGGAGGGAAGAAGCATTTTCGTATGTCAGCGGTATCGGAACTCAAGAACCTACTCGCCCGCGTTCGAATCGGATTCTTGCAGCTGCATCATCTAATCAGAAGATCCCGCGAATCAACGACGGTACGAATTGCGACAATTATCGCGCGTTCTTCTCTCGCCACGCGGAATTCGCGACGGCGAGCCATATCTCGCGATTTCGATCTGTACATCGCACCGCCTTTGCGTCTCGCCGCACCGCGCGAGCGTCTCCTGGTACCGCGGCCGTGCTGTGCCTTGCCGTGCCGTGACGCGCCGCGCCGCGTCGCGTCGCACCGCACCGCACCGCACCGCGTCGACAAGCGCTCGATGCTGCGACGATCCGCACGTTCCCTCGCACATTCGCTTCGGCCGCTCACTCGCGCAGCAAGATATGGGTGTGCCGTGTATACGAGAGCGAGCTTCCGTGTCGGCATGTTGACATAATGCAAAAACGTACAGCCCTGTGTGAGCCGCCGGCTGCCGTCGCGCCGTCCTTGAAGGGATCAATTGTCGTAGAACGATCGCCACCGCCGCCAAAGCGCCGCACCGCACCGCACCGCGTCACGTCACGTCACGACGCGCCGCAACATGTCAACTCGACTCGACGCTCACTCACCTCGTGCTCGAATCCTGTGTCTCGCTACGAACGATGCGACAACATGCCTCACTCGCGTGCTGTTGTTCGATGCTCTTGGCCGAGACGCATCGGTTTTCACGGCGACAATGCGCGAGGATGCCCGCCGTTTTACCTGCGAGCAGGCTGGAAAGCGGCCGGGACGGAGAGATAAAGACAGGTAGACGGAGAGCGGGAGTGAGACGGAAGTGTCGTCCCGTGTCCGTGGAACGGCCAAACGAGAGAGACGGACGGAGAGTACGCCAGCACCGAGTAGGCGAGGAACGAGTACGCGAGCACCGACACACGACAGGCTCCTCCGCACGTATGTTCGTCAGCAATGGCAGCAACGTCTCAGACTATCATACACGCGCGCTCTTGCCGTTTTTCTTCGACGATCGCCGCCACCGGCTACGCCCAACAACGCGCGTCGATCGTGGCGGCTTCGTCGCGGGCGTGATGCGCGCGATGCATCGCGAGCGGGCCGATTTTGCGGAACGACCGACGGCGCGTTTCCGTGGGCTCTCGTCGCACTCGGCTTTCCACGGACAGACACAGCTCACGCGAGCGCCTCGACGTGCCGGATGACGTTACGAAGACGAGGACGAAGATAAAGGCAATGACGAACACAACGAGCGACGACGACGATGACGACGAAGACTACGGCTGTTTGCCAGACGCGACGTTGTTGTCCGACGCACGACGCATTGAACACTGACTCTATTAGGCGCACTGCTACCAACGCGCCGAACATGAACTTTGCGCTTCCAAGTGAAGGCGCTGCGGCGCGCAGGAACGTATCGCATACGAACAGGCCCGTAGGTTGCACTCCGTGTAATGTCCGGCTCCACTAACGCCGATTAAATCTTAACCACAGTTTAAGCCTTTGTCTGAACAGAGTTTAAACTCGGGTTGAGGTTTAATTGACGTTGGTGAAACTGGGCACAAGTTTTAGACCTGGTTCCACCAACGTCTTTAAACATCAATTAAATCTTAATTTGTGTTTAAATCTTTGTCCAAGGACAATTTAAACTCAAATTAAGACTTAATTGGCGTTGGTAAAATTGGACATTAGATAAATTCTGGTTAAGATTTAATCGATGTTTAAGTACTTAAAACATATAACTTTGGACGAACCGGACTTAAAACATTGTTTTCCCGACTGTACCAACGATTGCAATGAAGTTGGTAATAACGATTTGCCGGTCTTTCTATAGACTGTACTTGTATGAAAGTTTGATTTCAAATTAATCAAGTAATCCTAATCTGAAGTTGACTCCAGATGGCGCTACCTCCCAGACTTAAAATTTCTGATTTTATGCTATGAGGCCCAATTCACAACTTATCTTAATTAGAATTTAATTAATTTAATCTAATCAAATATAGAAAAATGTGTACACGATAATAATAATTGAAAAATCGAATTTCCGGATCTTTATTGAATATATATTAAGACGATTTAATTAAAATATACTTACAGAAGTGAGCAACAGACGAATCGCGCGTGAGACCAAATAAAGATTCCATAGAGATTCCTGTCTTAAGGAGACCCGCTGCCAGCGGAATGTATCCTCACTTTGTTACGCTTGATGCAAAGATACATTTGACCAAGTGCATAAACGCGTCACGTTTAGTCATATGCGTTAATAGATAAATATGCAGCGAACGGGTGATACTCATTGAAATCAGAATTCGCGCGAAAATCAATGAGGAAGGGATCTTCCACGAACAAATGTCACATAATACGCCTCCGTGACGAATCTCTCATTAAAGCGTCGCTTGTTCAATATGCCGGAACAGATCCCTTCAAACTACTAGCTTAAAAAGATAGTAACAAATACGGTATAGATAAAATGACTGATGGGAGGCTGCTCCAAAGCTCAGGCTAGTCGTATCTAAAAGGTCTTTGATAGAAGCTGGTGCTTAAATCGCTCTTACGCAATAACAAGGGATAATAACGAGGTGCAACGGACGGACAGCGTATGTCCGAGAGGTATGCGCGCGCTATTACATTAATAGCCATCACATTTGCACTATGTTCGCACTACGTGACGGCTATTATGACAATAGCTGTTATATATTTATGCTACGCGTACACTCTACGCGACGGCCATTACATCAATAGCCGTCAGATTTTACACTAAACGTACGGCCTGTCTAAGCAATACTCATCGGTATTGACAGCGCTTCGTCTCATTGTCAGTTTACCCTGCCATTGTTCGGCGTAGAGACGACAACGTCGTCGTCGGCGTAGTAGTTGACGACCAAGCTACCGACGCTATCAAGTGAACGGTATGACAGCATCGAGATAAGAAACGATCTCCGCGCTTCCACGGAGGATTGAGCTCAATTTCAAGGTGTTTATGACAGCAAGCTGACATCACAAGACGCGATCAAGAAGCGAGGCCTTTGTGTTCTTATAATGTACTTAAAATAATATTTATAAAAGTTTGATGTGTATATATATTTATTTATCATCAAATGTCAAAAGGTCTAGACATGACCTGGAATTTGGAGGGACGGTAGACTTGAAAACACGTTTATCTGATAAACGTTTTCATATCGCGCTTAACGATAAAAAACGTTCGACGAAATATCGACAGGACATTTGTATCACAGACTGCAGCCACTTGTTTTGGATAAAATTTTAAGCTCTTTTTATTACGTACAAACTAATACCACAATGTATTTTATTTCAACTACAATATGTTTAATTTATTTTGAATGAATTTTATTTCAATAAAATTGATTTACACTGTACACTGGTTTTCAAAACAATTGAAACACTTTTTCCTGATGCAGTTCAAAATACTTAAAATGGAAGAAAATAACTTCCTCCATTAATTAATCAAAAACAAGTTCTCTCTTTGGACCATCGGCTACGTTCCCAAATGCATTGTGTATGATATCCTTCAGCTAATTGCAGCTTTTCTGTTATAAAGAGTCTTAACGTGGGACGCGCGGTCACAAGGTTATGTAGCAGTCAAAGAATTGCGACGAACAATGACTCCCTCGACAGTTTTGCCAAGGAAAGAATCTTCTCTTTTTCTGACTGTTTAGCAACTTTGTTGCAGTTCCCTCCGCAGGATAAAATGACCCTATGACACATTGAAAGAAAAAGTGTCCGTTTCGAAAATAAATGTACAAGTTAATCAATGTTCCACTAATTAAACAGAGTTCTGTTTATCTGTCTTTGACTTGTCTCTTTGTTTTGTATTTCATATCGGAGATTTCAGATTTCTTGAAGAATATTTTACCGTTAAAATAGTTATTGACTATAAATGAGAGAAGGACCTTTGTCAACTTTCCCGCGTGCGGGTTGATTTAAGCAGAATTTCTACTCTTTCTTCGAAAGTGACGGACTTCGCGCTGTTGCGCGTGAACCCGCATTGAAAATCACAATATCTCGTTCTTAGGTTGGTAGCGCAACAACGGACGGCTAACTCGAATGGTCGGTCGGTGCAGCCGTGAGTACAGCTGCACTCGACGCAGACTGTCTAGCGTAGCGGCGAGGACCGGAGGCCAGGTAGTTAGACGCATTAGGTGCCGGGCCTGCTCCAAATGCAGTCATGCGTTATCGCGCACACGCTACTTTCCTTTCGAACCTTTTGCTTTCTTCGCGATTTGCCACGAGGCGACAGGTTTGTTGAGTTCGGGCCCACGCACACATATACATCCAGGATCGACTACGAAGACTTTCGCACCCCGTGCGAATACCCAAAAATGCCTGTGTAAGTATATACTTATGAGTCATTGTGTATGGTATCCTTCAACCAATTGCAGCTTTTCTGTTATAGAGGATCTTAACGTGAGACGCGCGGTCACAGGGTTATGTAGCAGTCAAAGAATTGCGACGAACAATGACTCCCTCGACAGTTTTGCCAAGGAAAGAATCTTCTCTTTTTAGCAACTTTGTTGCATTGTCTTCAGCTCCCTCCGCAGGATAAAATGACTCTGTGACACATTGTTTCTACTTTTCCAAGCATCCTCTTTGACTATTTTCTGTCCTAAATTTCTCTTTTTCGATTTCACACAAATGATATCATCCAAGGTTGCATTCCGCGTTGCGTTCTTTTTGAGGAAAATTTTACTCAATACTTATAGTTTATGTTACATATACTATAAAGTATCGAGTAAAATTTCCTCAAAAAGGACGTTTTGGAACGCAACGCAAACAGAATTTACAAGTTAAAATTCAATCGCTCAAAATGGCAGTTTTTAACAGACTCTTAAAAAGATAAATCGAAAAAAGGGAGGTTTGAACAAGAGATTGGAATCATTCAAACACAAATATAAGTAGAATATTATATTGGTTTAAACAGCGTCATAGTTAAATTGCTCAATTTCTTTCCGAGATCAATCGCCTTTTTCTTTTGGTACGTAACCCGATTTAACAAAACTTGATATTATCATCATTTACCAAAATTATTGTAGATAATAAGAAATATTTCTTCCTTTTTATCGTCCAAGTTTCCACGATTTAAATTTAACAGGACGAACTTGAGATCCAAGCTACACAGCTGCGGTTCAACGAGTTATGACGCATTCAACGTCGTTGCACTATGACGTCCTCGATTTGAAACAGTCATGCATGCCTCTGCGGCGACGTTCGCCGTAAACACTATCGCACATGATATCATGCTCAATTAATGCGCGCTGCCATAGCAGGAATTAATGGGTTTCCGATCGTAAGGGTTCGTGGCATAACTCGTTCACTGACTCATTTGTCCCTGATTGTGTTAAAATCGATATGATATATAGCACCTTCGCTTATTTGGAAAGCGTCATATTCGCAAGACCTTGTTCTTAATATCGCTATCGGACGCCACGCTTAATCTGTATAAATATACGCGTATCGCGTTGTTTAACTCGTGCCTCTTGTATAATATCCACGTGATATAGATCTATGCAATAGTAATTTTTAGCTTTCTTACACTGTTTTACTCGATGAAGAACTATTTGTGAAAAGAAAAAACTGAAAAAACAGCCAGCAACATTAATTTCATAAATAAATATTGTGCTGGTTATTGCTTAAACGTAACGTAGCGTCATTTCTTTCTTACAGCAATCCAGATGAATAACCAATGTTAAATCAAGATCGTTGTAAAGATTACTACGGATTCATTGTCTGACAAGGAAATTGAAATTAATTATCGTTAAAATTAAAATCAATCATTTAAAATGGGAAATTTTAAGTTCGCTACCTCTCTATTAATAATAATAATATGATAAACTATTAACTCCATCATATTGGTAAGTCATCCCACTGTTCTCAATTACCCTACTAGCTACCCTATTACCTACTTAGCCATTCTTTACCACAAGCGCACACGCGCCATGTCTTTATATATCCATTATTATTATTATTATTAATACTCTTCTTTCACGATGCAAAATACAGAATTAATCCATTGACGTATACTTCACTTGATTGTTCTACTAAATTGTCCTTTTATTAAGAACACTGGAATGTGCGTTGAAATCATACACTTTTAATCTATCTATTGCGGTAGCTAACTCAATCGTTATATATTTTCTCTGTTCTTTAAAGAGAGCTTGCTACAGAGCACTGATGAATATGTTGCTAACATCACTACTGAAACGTGGCATCGTTTCAGCCGGCGCGTCCCCGAATTCTAATTCTAACAGCGTCACGACGTCACCGGACGTCAAATTTTCGAAACAATACACGGCCAGCGCACGTGGTTGTATTTATGGGATATACATAAGGCTATTTTCGCCGAACGGCAGAATGGCCGTGAATCCCGAGACGCCATGAACCAGCCGAGCGCCGACAACTTCCTGGAATGTTCCACGCTTTCTACCTGCGCGTCAAAGCGACGAGCCAAAGCGCGCTTAACACCTGGCAAACGGCAAACGTATTGACTGGTACGTCATCGATGAGCAATGTAGCGCATAAACGACATTGATGATGCATACCGAGGTGTTTCTTCTTCTATCATTTTTACTTTTCATTACCTTCATATAACGTTCTTTTTAATTGATCACTGACTTGACATCTTGTCGTTATGACCATTGCTCCAGCATTGTTGGTTACAAACAGTATACTGCTGTTCCGATGTTGATTGCATCGACGATTTGATACGTCGTCGTAAGCGTGCTTGCACCCGGTGGTTGTCATGCGAGTATCAAAGCGACTTGATCCTGCGCCAAATGCAACGACGAAGTGACGGATCGACGTAAAGGCGGTCTGTGAACTGCCCCGCAGGTATACATCTATTTATTCGAGTGCAGATTATTTTTAAAAATGTTTATTTTTGGATATTGTTAAGACACAGTATTATTAGTTCACGATTTTGTATGGATCTCTGATCAATGTGTCTTCTGTGTCTTAGAAAGCTGTATCTGTCTGATAGTGCTTACATTAAAGGTTGAAAGATAAAGATAATGATGTATTGTGTAAATGCTATTGAGGACTAATGCGTAGACATTTTAATCGCTTTCCTTTCTACTTCGTTAACAATATCGTTAAGATAATAACGTTCTATGTTTTAGGACGAAATTTTTACTTGATGATTCTTTGAAGATATATATCGTCAAGAGATACGAATTTACTTATATTTTAAAATAACTATATGACAATGTACAAGCATAATAAAATATTTCGAAGAAAATTTCAACAAAAAAGCTGATACTTATTTTCCAACTAAAGATAAAAAATGTCCTTAAATATGTCTAGAGAAATATTCTCAGAAAAAATTATGACAAAACGTTGCCTATGTCTAATGAAGTTCTTCGATTTCCAAGTGTTCGTGCACTTTGCCTGACGTTTTGGAGCACAAAGGGAGTATTCTTATCGCGATGCGTCATTCTTCCAACTAAAACGACAGTACAAAAAATGTAACATATGTTAAAATAGCACGAAATGGTTCGCTGACACACGTTCTCCCTTTTTCTTTCTTTCTCTGTATCTCTTTTTCTCTCTCAAGAATTATATTGAATTTATTGAAATCTTCATTAGTCACGAAGCCGACTTGTGAATTACTGAGGACATTCCCTCCCAGGCGTGTAACAGCAAGTCACACGGCCTTAGGTAAAATAGCAACTCAGTTGTAGCAAGATCTGTTGTAGCAAAAAGAAAGAAATACTGGCAAACAAAGGAAGGAAGAAAAAACTTGGAAAGAAATAAGAAAAAGCATTATAAAGAAAGAAAATTCTAAGTTTTCACGAATAAGCACGCATTAAAAATAAACTAATAGATTTATAGAATATATTCCAGCGGATGCCTTTTCACTAAAGACTAATCGGTTTAAGATCGATTTTGAAGAGAGTAGCTTTGTTTGATGTTTTTATGCTGATTGTAAGGTCAAAATATGGAATTAGACGAAAAACCCGAAGCATGAAGCGATCTTTTGTGTCATCTGTAGTTAATGTGGGTCTCTGGATCCTTTTTTCATCTATCCCTCGTTACGTCGCTGTTTCTTCCCCACTTCCTTCGATTGCTTTCGTTGACGACGTCGTCGACGGCTGGAAACGTCGACGTAAGAATGAGAGCACGTCCGTGTGTATGCATTCGCGCATGAATTAATGTCGCACATACCGATGTCGAGGAGCGCGGATAACAGGCGGCGCGACACGTGATTCGTACGGCGCGTAATATACGCGGTAACGTGACTAAGTCTATGTACATTTGTATTTCTTCCTCGCGCTCGAACGAATCCGAGACTATGATCTCGAAGATCGTCGTTGATAAGATTCGAGTTTATCAGCGCTTCGCTTATCGCAGCAACTCACAAGTTGTTATGACTTTGACTGATACAACGGAAATTTACCTTAACTTTGTTATTGATGCGTCTAAATTGATTCGTTATTGGTGAATTAATACTAACTATAATGTGATGGAATTCAGATAATAGTATCATTGTGTACTACATACATCGAAGAATCGATTACAGTGAGAAATCCTGTGTATCTTGACGACTTCATGTTTATAAAATGATGTGATAATCTATAAAGAAACATTGTGTGCCTCTCATAACGATAATTATATATTACTTTTTTTTATTAACTTCCAGATGTGTGAATGATCTTTAGTTGTATAAACTCCAAAGTATTTTTCGCATCATTAGTTGTATAAACTCCAAAGTATTTTTCGTTGCAATCTGTTGTTAATGCCAGTAATTCGCGAATATAGTTGACATAATGTAGACAGACTGTTACAATCGCGATGTTCGCGACGGAGCGTCGCGACTTTGCAAGATCGAACGACGTAGAGCAAAGAGAGAGAGAGAAAGAGAGAGAATGCGGGAGGAGGAGATACAGCAAGTGAAGGAGACCTTGTACTAATTTCTACGTATTTCGAACGAAGAGTGTAATTATGCTACTCGACGACCGCATTTCGCGCCGTTTGCGAAAAGAAGAAAATCCTCGAGGAGATTTGAGTGCGCATATATACCGCGACACGCACGTCCAAAAATACATGATCTTCTTCGCTGGTAGACTCGACTCTTCCCGTACTTCGCTGAGAGTTCTCTTCGCCCGTCCCTGCACCCGCGCTGCAGATGCTCTATCATAATGATCTCTATTTTGGGCCAGAGGGTCGGCTGCAAGCTGCGTTGTATAGCCGCAGATGTTCTCCTCGGCCGAGCTAAAAGCGTTTGCGCAGGGGAAGGTCGATCTCGACGCCACGCACGAGAGAGACGAATAGACAAATAGACGAGTTAGATACGTTTATTGTAAGATCGCGGGTGGAGTGAGAACAAGAGATAGAGGCGGAGGGAGAGAGAGAATGAGCGAAGATAGATAGAGAGAGAGAGAGGGGGGGGGGCAATCAAAGATAGAAAGGAAGGATGAGAAAAGAGGGAAATGTTGGTGATGATTATCAAGGCTATCACGCATCTCTGATAAGACTAGTGACAGTTTGACGACATTAAACAGCAGTAAATATATCACATATAAACTATAGAAAGAGAAAGAAAGAAAGCGTGAGATTCTACCAGGTACATTAATTTCAAGAAAAAATGAGACTGAAAAATATCCGCTGCGCGAGATTTTAGTTTATTGACTTTTATATTTCAACATATTCCCTTTATCGTATTCCATTTTAGATCACTTATAAGATATGCATGTACAAAATAGAAGAGACAGGCTCGTCACTGCGGATAGAAAAGTTAATCAACTGTATATAATGCTAATTGATTGTTAATAATGGTCAACATGACCACTTATTAAAGATTTACATCTCTATTATTCACATTATGCGCAATCTTTCTCAGATGCGATTTCCGAAATGCTTTCTACAGTTTGTAAAGCTATTATCATGTCGACGCGAGACTTGTCTTGTCGTATCGAAAACTTTCCTAAGATACAGTCGCAGTGGAGAACAGCCAAACGTCGTTCTCGTAAGCTCGCGGAAGTTAATCGCTCAACGTGCATTTCGTCGCGCGACCAGTCTTACGATCTTCGCGACACTCAGATACTGTAACTATAAATTTTCACCGTTGTCAGTTAATTCGATGAAATTTACGATCGTCCCGGCGCAGCGTTCCTTTCTTTCTCTCGCAGCAGAAATCACATATTTGTCCGCATGACGCAGGAATTTCTTAAGGTTTCGCAAAAAGCGAATCCACCCAATCTTCTTCATGCCTCAACAACAATGGGAGACTCCGTAATTGTGCAATGCATTCTCTATGATAATACAAGGCCAAATCCCATCCCAAATCACACGACGCTCACTTATAAGGTCACTGTGCTTCCGAGATATTATCGATCCGTTCGGGATTATTTTTAGCCGGCGCCGTATTTGTGTCATATACATGCACATATTTACGTCGCGCCTCAAACGCAACACCGTTACCTCTTCGAAATTGTGTTACGGTATTTTTAATCTCGGAAAAACAAATCATAATCGCGAGGGACATGCTTTCTAGATTACATTGAGTGATATAACTAGGAAGATATAAATTATACTTTTAATTATGTTACAACAAACTTTCCATTATTATAACAATAGCACATCCTTGGCACTGAAATTATTTTTGCTTGTTTTTGCTTATTTTTGCTTGTTTTTGCCGTTTTTCTTACCTTTGCGTCCTTTACGTTTCTTTCTGCCGTTCCTCTTTTGCTTTCTCTCGAGCAGCTTGCGTGCTTTCAAGATCTGCTCCGGGTTCTTCAGTTCGTTCTTCGTTTTTATTTTGTTCTTAAGCTTCTGGTTGTGCCGCGCCCAATGTGTGTGCGCTGTAGTACGCACTAAAATATACATAAGGCATACATAATTTTGTACGTGTTACAATTAGAATGAAAATAACTTATAAAATTCCGACAATTAAATCGAGTACATTCTTAAAACTGGCGTAATTATATCGTACTTACGTTTCTTCACTTGTGGTGACTCCTCCTCACTATCATCCTCGTTAGCTTCCTCGATTTTACTCTTCTCTTTCCATATATTGTAACGATTTGTTTTGTATGTAGCAGGTATCCACACACCTGACTCAGTACGTATCTTTCCTGCTTTCGGGTTCTACGTCGGGTTCGTGCGAATGTAAAATTCGAATTTATAGTAAACAATTTCATTTTTCACGGTGAGCAAATATCACATGTAAAAACACACTGTGTATGTACCTTATCAATAGTAATCATTTTCTTCTTCTTTCGATCCCATTTCTTCAGTTGAGTTTGAAGATGTCGAGACTGCTCGTTATCTGCCGTTAAATCCAGCTGCGCCTTATCAGCTTCCGTGCTAAATGTATTCACCGCTAAACTGGAGAACAAAACAAGTGTCAAACAAAAATAACGACTGAATAAGAGAAGACTTGAATATGTAATCGAATAATTCTTACCCATCCTCCGTATGCTTGTCCGGTGCAGAATACGGTACGTAAAATTCTTCGTCTCGTTTCGTTTGACGTTTCCTCTTCTTTGATATTTTGTACAAATCGTCACCACTCCGTTTCTTCGGTACTACCACTGTGTTGAATGCAGCATTAATTTCTTCCGCGTTGCTGGACGGCAGATCAATTTTCCGCGATAATTCTATAAAAATTTAAATTCTATAAAGATAAGTGAAACATCAATATCATCATACATTACACGTTTCAATGCCACAATATTCACCTAACTCCATGTCCATTTTGTCAACTTTACGTTCTTCCATTTTCTTGTAGAAATTAAGGATATTTTCTTTGTGAAATGCTCGTTTCGTTTTCATCACTTGATAGTCGATCGATGATGTCTTCGTGCCAATCTCAAATATTGTCTGCAAAAGATAGACACACAAAAAATCAAATTGAATGAAATATAATATTACAGTAAACTCATCTAAAACGTCATACTCACTCCTTGCGGCCGATAATTCTTCATTCTCGATATCAAATTCACAGTGGTGGAAGAAACATCGGAGTACTGCGGAAAAACTCCAGCTTCGTTTATGCAAAGTTCCTTGATTCTCTTAACGCTTTCCGTTGAAGCTCCTGGTCGTGATCTCACATATTGTTGATAGGCATTATTGCATACTTTCTGCATATTCGTCTGCGGACACAAGTGTTATCTTACTAGTTTCAAAAGATAAAAAAAAAGAGTTATACGATTTGTGTGCGCCAAATAGATTTACACCAAGTTCTGAGTAGACTTACAAGATCTATAGAACCATCGTGCCAATTTATCAACTCGGCCAGCTCCTCTTCTATCATGGTCTGCGGCATCTTTCCCACCGCGGACTCCATATTTTCAGTAGATCCTGTGGTTGGTACTATCAATAAAGGTCGACCAAGGAAGAGATGCAAATCTAGAAGATACGGGTATTCATCCGCGCTCACGATATTGTATGCTGTTCCAGCACGCCCGGCCCTAGCACATCGTCCTGTGAAATAAATAATGTTTGATTATGCTATTTAATACTTTATATTTAATAAATGGTGTTCAGACATCGTCTCTAAATTAGGAAAGAACGTACCTACTCTGTGTACAAATAGTTTGGATTTTGCAGGGAAGTTAAAGTTTATCACATAGTCCAGATGTGGTATATCTATTCCTCTAGCAGCGACGTCTGTCACTATCAGGACTTTTACTTTGCCAGTTTGAAATTTAGCCGCGTTTATTTTACGCGCGGAAGGATCCAGATTCGAGTAAATGAAAGTATTGGTGATCCCGGCTTTATCCAATATCTGTACAAAATACAATTCATACAGTTATAAGATTTCAAACAACATACAGTCATAAGTTTTCATATAAGATATATCTAGGAAATGATTGTATATATGTTAATTACCTGATGAATATACTCCACGTGATGCATAGTTTCCGCGAATATAATTTTTTGCGAGTCGTCTTTAATTATTCTCTTTAACAGGCATAAAAGTACAGCCAATTTCTCTTCAGGACGACATGTAATAAATGATAACTCTAACCCTTCTGGTAACTTACTCTCAACGTCTAAACGAAGTAGAACAGGATCACTTAAACCAGCTTTTGCAAAATCCACTAAAACTTTGGGTAAAGTAGCAGAAAACAGTAGCGACTGACGCGACTCTGGTAATCTATTTACAATTTCGTGTATTTGTTCACCAAAGCCCATTTCAAACAATCTGCACAATACAATTTTCTCTTTAATAATAACGTATATAACCTTAAAATTTTTAGAATACATGAGAGAAAAATTATTACCTATCAGCCTCATCAAAGACAATATATTCAATATTTTTCAATTGTAGATCCATTTCTACACAAATATGTAAGAATCTACCTGGTGTGGCTACAATAATATCAGGATTTCCATGAATTGCACTAAACTGGTCATCTATGCTATCACCACCTAACACTACAGATGCTTTTAATCCTGTGAATTTTCCTAGCTCTTTTATGAACTTTAGTGTCTGTAATGCCAATTCACGTGTTGGTGAAAGTATCAAGGCACGTGCACCACTCTTTGCCAATCTTGCCTTGAGTTTTTCAAACAAGGGAATTAAGAAGCAGGCTGTTTTACCGCTACCTGTTCTGGCCATTGCTACTACATCTCTTCCCTCAAGAGCCAGTGGTATTGTCTATTAAGAAATTATATTATTATTATCAAGAATACTATGTAGTACTGTATTGTAATTACTATGTAGTACTATATTGTAATACTGGATATTATATAGTGTCATATATTAATGGTATAAAATATATCATTAAGAAATATTGTAATGTAAACAATTGAAATAAAATATCTTTAAAATATTAATTTAAATTCTGTTAATTACATACTTTTCTTTGTATGGGTGTGGGTATTTTGTAGCCTCGTTTCAAAATTCCTTTTAACACTGGGAAACTAAGAGCCATAGACTGAAATCCTCCAGATTTCTTGGAAGTCTTTCTTTTAATATTGGCGATTTCAGTATCCTCATTATCGCTAATTGCGTTTGGATCGGCAAATCCGACAAGATCAACCTCCTTCATTTTGCTAAAAAGATAAATACAAATTAATATATAAAATTTATTTAATATAATGTGCTCCAAATATTACGCAAAGGTAGTGAGTAACATTCTTTGTTTTAACATACTTTATTAGTGTATTTGTTCAATTTTTTTAAAAATCTAGATTGTCGTATATCACACTTAAGACAGAAAGCAACGATAACCTCAAATGTGCACGTATGCACGAGGCCTATTCTTTATCGCTGCACTGCTGACACTGTTGAATTGATGCAATAAGTTAAAGCGAGACACATATATAGTTTATCACTTTAACCAGAGAGAAATCTGAAAGCGGCCACGCCATACGTTTTGGCCGACACTGATTTTTACGCTGTTCGATGCGCCATCTGCATCCATTTTTGAGGTGAAACTACGTTCCCTATGCCCATTTTCAGACACTGCCGGTAAAGTGTCGATTTGTTGCGTGTCCATTCTACGCCCATTTTCTGGCGATTCATGTCAGTGCTAAGCGCATAATTACGTGTTAAAAAAATGGACTGTCCATATTTTTAACCAGGACATGGGCCGGCATTAAGTATATAGTCTGATCTTAAGGTGCCTTTACATGGAAGCATCGAGCGTCGAGCATTAAAGCGGTAGCCAATCAACGTGCCACTTTCCGCAAGAACTACAAGTATACTTCTGGGACCTGATACGTTGATTGGCTAACGGTTTAACGCTCGAACGCTCTCATGTATTGGCACCTTTATATTTAAGATTATCTTAAATACTGTCTTAAGATGTCATGAACCAATCACAGAACCGTATTCGCATCTTAAGACATTACTTAAGACGGTCTTGAAATAAGATTCGACTATGAATACCGGCCATGTCCGACTGTCCATGTTCTTAACCACGTAATTATACGCTTAGCACGAATACGAATCGCCAGATTACGACAATTGGAATGCAATTTGTGTCGCCATGTGCATGAAAATGTCTAGGGATATTGCAACTGGAAAACACCCACAGACTGCGTTCCAAAACTCTACTTGACGGGTAGAGTAGCATTTAATTAACCAATATGAGCAAAGATAATTAGTATTTCTTTATCATGATTGGACAATTAAATGTACTCTACTCGTCGAATAGAGTTTTGGAACGTAGCCACAGTGTACGTAACTGGAAAGCACCTAAAGATAGGATAATGCTTGTGTTGACTTGTAGTACCCCTTGTCCACAACCTTGTTTTAATCTTTATAATGATCCATATTCCGAATCCTCTTTTATCAATAAAAGTGCCTTAAATGTAGCTTCTCAGCCAACCAGGTGGCTCCTAAGCCTTTTTTAGAGGCACTTTTATGGCTCTTGCACACAGGACGCGGTAATGCTTGCCACGTGGCGGAAGTTCGCGCGATAGCCAATCAATATGCTGCTTTCCGTAATAACCTTCTAGCTCTTACGGAAAAACAACATATTGATTGGCTGTCGCACGAATTTCCGCCGCGCGGCAAGCATTACCGCATCTTGTGTGCAGAAGCCATAAAAGGTAAGGAGACTGAACTTGACAGGGCGCGAGTAAAAAAAGTGGTCCAGGATACCTATTATGGACTTCTTCAAAATCAATTCCGATTGGAAACATTCAGTTATTTCCTAGATTTCTATTGTCTTTTCTAGAGGAAACGGAATTATTCCGATCGGAATTGATTCCGAAGAAATCCATAATTGGTACCCTGATTCGTGTCCTCCAATTGAGAGGAAATTCGCTGAAAAGAATAACTTCTTATGGCTCCTGCACACAGGACGCGGTAATGCTTGCCGCGCAGCGGAAGTCCGCGCGACAGCCAATCAATATTTTATTTTTTCGTAAGAACTAGAAGGTTATTACGGAAAGCAGCATATTGATTGGCTGTCGTGCGAACTTCCGCCGCGCGGTAAGAATTATGGCTCCTGCACACAGGACGCGGTATGCTTGCCGCGCGATGGAAGTTCGCGCGACAGCCAATCAATATGCTGCTTTCCGTAATAACCTTCTAGCTCTTACGGAAAAACAACATATTGATTGGCTGTCGCGCGAACTTCCATCGCGCGGCAAGCATACCGCGTCCTGTGTGCAGGAGCCATAATTCTTACCGCGCGGCGGAAGTTCGCACGACAGCCAATCAATATGCTGCTTTCCGTAATAACTTTCTAGCTTTTATGGAAAAACAATATATTGATTGGCTATCGCGTGGACTTCCACCGCGCGGCAAGCATTACCGCGTCTTGTGTGCAGAAGCCATTACCGCGTCCTGTGTGCAGGAGCCATTATGGTTGGGCGTTATTTGTAAAGCAATAAGTTAGAGCGAGATAAGATATACTGTCTCACTTTTATGCAGGATTCACACCGCGTCCGATATCCGACGTACGACGTCCGATATCCAATAGGAGGAGTTTTCCAATGGAAAGTTGAATTCTCTATTAGAAAGCTGTTTTCTTATTGGATATCGGACATCGTACGTCGGACATCGACGCAGTGTGAATCCTGCATTACAACAACAGTTCAGTGGTGCAGCTAAAGAATTGCGTCTGCTTGCGATCGACTTGCAACTAATGTAAAACGACCTTTAGAGATGACTGACTTGTTGTTGAGTCGTACTATGCACTTGTTTTTTTATTAAAAACAGTGGCGACTCATAGCGGATTATCACAATTATTTGTAACTAAACTCGGGATTTTTTGATTCGTGAAGTTGATACTCTTGAAGTTAGATTAGCGAATGTGCCTATAGTGCCATAAGACGAGAGCGTCGGCCATTTATACTGTGTATGTCTGCCGCTTCAAATCAAGATGAAGTAAGTTGTAATTTTTCGTACGAAATACATCCAATAAGCTTGGTGCAATCTTTTTGTATTTGCGGCCAAATTTTAGCTCATACCTAGCTATAATACTTGTACTTAATATACATTTATTCTTTCCAGGATCGGCCTTTGCGCGTACAGCGGATATAAGATATATCCGGGTCATGGCAAGACCATGGTCAAAGTTGATGGAAAGGTAAGCATCGCTGAAACAATGATCATACGATAATATTTTAATATAGCTCAGATACTCTTCAATTATTGCGACGTGTCCGCCGAAAATACGCGTTCGACGCATATTTATATTTCACTTACAACCTATCAGTTTGCGTATTTAACATAACCTTTATTTTGTTTCCACAGACCTTTACTTTCCTCAACTCAAAATGCGAGTCCGCACATTTGATGAAACGTAATCCCAGGAAAGTTACATGGACTGTTCTGTACAGGTATAGATATATATATCGAGATATATATTCTAACATACAAGTAATTTCTTTACTAATTTCTGTCAAAATTAACATACATCTTGATTTATCTTCCAGACGTAAACACAAGAAGGGACAGGAAGAGGAGCAGACTAAGAAAAGAACAAGGCGTGCTCAAAAGTTCCAACGTGCTATTGTAGGTGCTTCTCTCACAGACATCTTGGCTAAGCGTAACATGAAACCAGAAATCCGTAAGGCACAGAGAGAACAGGCAATCAAGTATGTATCTTTACAATTGCTTGATTATTATTATGAAAGAATATTTATTACATATTCAAAGAAATTCATTCAAAGGTATTAAAATTATGTTATTAAATATATTTTGTTTGAAACTGTATTATATATATAATAGACATCCGTTCCTCTGACAAAGCTTTTCATGCTATGTTAGATTTAAGGAAGTCTTAGAGTAAAAATGGGCTGCTTCACCCAGAATTGTATTTCTGCTTACACTGTCTGGTTTTTGCGGGTTCATACAATTAATATAACAATATCATATAATGTTAAGCAGTAGCGATATTGCTCAAATGTAACTTTTTCTAGGGCGGCAAAAGAACAGAAGAAAGCAGCAAAAGCAACAAAGAAGGCTATTGCTCCGCCAAAAACTAAACAGCTACCGAAACAAAAGGCAACTAAAGTGACGCAAAAGTCCGCACCTCGTGTCGGTGGTAAACGTTAAATATTCTGTAACTATACATTCTGTAACTATACATAAATAAAATAATATAACTCTACTATTTCAGTTTGAATTTTCTATAGTATATTGCAGATAATTAAATTAGATAAAATCTCAAAACAAGCATGCAGTCTCCAAGTAACATATATGTATGTTTGTATGTATGTATGTATGTATGTATGTATATATATATATATATATGTGTGTGTTTTATTATATCATATATATAATTTAAAATTAATTCTTTGTGGTCATAGTTTGAGTTATGCCTGATATTATATTTTATGTCGAAAAACTTCATAACCATAAAAATCTAATTTATATAGTCAAAAAATATAAATTTTCTTTACAATTAGTAGAATCGTCTTACATCTTATACAAGTCAATTTTATAAATTATAGATTAAAACAAAACGCGCTTAGAGTTTATATACAAGTATATTTATTGCTTGTCCTTATTCAACTTTTTCTTGAGTGCGGACAACTTCATTAGAGCGATGTCACGCCACGCTCGTCGTTCCTGTAGCTGATTAAGTGGGCACATCTCGTTTAATTCGTCGCTAATTTTCTCTGCCATTTCACCGACGAATTTTGGAACCGGTCCAGAAGTCATACTCACGTCATAAATCGACTTATTATACATTTCACAATATTTCTTCATTCCTGTAAAACAATACAGTACAGTTTGAATCGCATTACATTGAAAAGCTTATTCATTGATTTTCATAATATACAAGTTAACAATTCTTTGCACTTGTACATAAACCAACTTACCTTCCGCGTTCAAGTGCGCGGTTTCAAACGCACCGAGAAACGCGTAGCGCATTCCGAGACCTTCGCTCATTACTGCGTCAATGTCCTTTACGCTTAGAACTCCGTCGGCTACCAACCTCCAAGCTTCATTCAAGATCGCATACCTGGCGATACGATTTTTTTTTTTAAATATGAAGTTGACAATATATATAGTTAACAGATAACGACAGATTGAAGATAGTTTTACACTAGCAACGATATTCGACTACGTACTGTATCCTATTGAGCGCGAAACCATCGACTTCCTTATTGAGGAGAACAGGTGTCTGGCCAATCTCCATCATGATGGTCTTTGTCTTCTCACGAACATCAGTGCGTGTCCATGGAGCTGGTACTATTTCCACCAGAGGCACGTAGTACGGAGGATTCACCTGTTTTTTAAACAATCACGTAATGATCATTCAACTTTTATAGTATAAGTGGTATAACTCGTATAGTATAAATATAAAATAGATGCCATTATGTTATAAAAAATATAAAATGCGTAATACATGTATATAATATACAAATATCTATTTATCCTGTTTTCTGCTAATTGAGTTTGTGAAATATTGGCATTTACCAGAGAACTAGTATCATTTTTGCTACACTATAAATCATGCTTACAGGGTGGGAAACTATAATTTGGTCACGGTGCTTCAATTTCTCGCTGAAAAGAGACGGACGAAACGTGGACGTCGACGAAGATAAAATCACTTTATTGTCGACTATTTTATCAAGTTCGTCATAGAGTTTCATCTTCAGCGGAAGATTCTCCGGTACGCATTCTTGTATCAATATCGCACCCTTGACTGTATCCACCAAATCACTCGATCCTACAATCCAATATCGTATATTAACACTTTGCTGACCAGTCACGAGTATACTCGTGTTTTCATACCCGAACATTGCTGACCGGTTACGAGTTAATTCGTGTTTGCACTTTAGTTTATGCAGTTTTTAAACTTCAATATAGTCTTTATAAGAATTCTGAATCGTATTATCTGAATCTTAGTTATCTTATTTTAGTTTAGGCTAAGATTTTATGAAATGCACGTATATGAAATAAGCCGAGGCATTTTAACGCCGTCTCTTATTTCGGTCATCTCTACTTTTGCTCTTTGCTATGCGTGCCTTTTTACTGAATTGTTCAATCAATATTCCCAGAGACATAAAAGCATGTTAAAGTTTATTTAGATCTTTTCATTTTATATTCAATTGCGGAAAAATAGCTGACTGCGATAGTTTTTAGTTGAAATAGCTAGTCAGCAAACCCCTTGTCCACAACCTTGCTTTAATCTTTAAGCTGTAATAAATTGACCAACCACAATCGATTATTTTAAAAATAATTAGTTGGTCAGTTTCTTAAGAATTAAAGCAAGGTTTTGGACAAGGGGCTAGTGTTAAGCTTCGTAAATATCCTTGAAAACCGTAGCATGCTAACATGTTAACTATAGGATCGTAACTAACTTAGAATCTCACCAATATGTAAATATTTCATATAATAAGAAGAGAGAGAGAAGTAAACAGACCTTTTATCAGTTTAATTTGTTCGCTCGCCTTCAAAGTACCTCTGCGAACACCATTGTCTTCGAGATGTTTCAGTTGCGAACCAATGTCGTCTAGCGCTTTCGTGATTTGGTTCGGGTCGATATCATAAATACTGACCTGATATCCTACACTGGCGAACAGCATCGACCAGCTACGTCCGATTAAGCCGCTGAATCAAGATAAAACAAAAGATATTAATTATTAAATGTTAAGATAAACGTTGAAACGACAATCTCGTTATTCCGGTATACGCGCGAATTCAAGTAATTCATTTATTTTTACATAAAAACCTTCAGAAACTATTTTTGTTTACTTTATACATCTTTTTTATCTCGGTAAATCATTTTTTTAAAAAAGGAAGAACACTTTTTTTAATATTTCTTTTGTATTTGTTTTTAGCTACTATTTATTTCCGCAAGCCTACTATAGCAAAGAAGAACACTACTCTATATTTGATTTCATTTCAAAATACATGTTTGTCTGGTTTCTGAGCATTATCTTATCTGCGAATGAAAATAACGTTCTAAAAATATGATTTACTAGACATTTGTGTTATTGCATCTTTCAGGAAAGATAGATTACTTGAAAAAACAGGTGATGCGTTGCGGTATATAATATTTTATAGTTTTCTATAAATTAATAAAATTAATATTTTGTAAAATAAAATAAAACAAAATGTATTTGTGCCCGTTTCTATCACCGTTTAAGCCTTAATCTAAGTTTAAATCTTTGGATAGAATTTAAACTCGGATTTAATCGATGTTGATAAAAACGAACATTAAACATTTTATTCCAAAAAGTGATAAAATGCCGTTTATTAATATCAAATACAAAATAAAGTAAAAATTTATGACTTTTAATAAAATTTATGCTAATGATAATTAATAAATATTATAAGGACAAATTTTAAAATTGAAATTTACTCTTTTTTTCCTTTTCAATTTATTGGAGTCTTATTTTCTCATTTATTGGTTAAATGACCTCGTTTGTTCAATATTGTAAATGTACGTCACGCGATTAAGATATTATAATGTTCCATTCTAATGTAATGATTTCCGTGAAGGTTGATTTTATATCAGAACATATATATATATATATATATATATATATAT